ACCCACCCCTCCCCAGCTCCCTTCCTGTCCCCATGGGGCATCTCTCCTTGGTTTTTTTAAAGTCACCGCAAGTTTCTGGCAGGTGACAAGCGGGCTGAGTGGCTGAGACGGTGGGGAGCATCCTGAGCCGACAGCTGCCCTCCGGCCACCAGTCTCCACGTCCAGACCCTGTGGGCACCTGTGTTCTCCTCACCTGCGCAGCTTCCCCGCCCCCGTTGGCTGGCTTTGGGCGCAGACTTGGAGCCCCAGCACCGACCTGCCCTCCCTCTGCAGGGCACGGGGGCCCTGCCCCATGGGGAGCCAGCCTGCTCCCCGTTACCCTGGGGGCTCAGTCTCCTCTACAAAACGGGACTTGAGGGCATCGAGCCTGTTGTCACGTGGCCTGGGCTTGATGCCCAGAATGTCACCCATGGGCTCGCTGCTTTTAATCCTCAGCCTGAGTGTGTGAATGTGGAAACGTAGGGGCCGCGCTGTGGTTCAGGATAGCATCGTTGTGTGCTTCCGGAGCCCCCATTTTACCGGAATGTTTATGAAACAACGGTGGCTGCCCGCCTACTGCGCACCGAGCCCTGCTCTAGGCAGGGAGGACATAGGGGACAAAAACAAAACACTCATGTCCTAGCCCAGCGGTTCTCAACCTGTGGGTCGCGACCCCTTTGGGGGTCGAACGACCCTTTCACAGGGGTCACCTAAATACATCCTGCATATCAGATATTTACATTACGATTCATAACAGTAGCTACATTACAGTTATGAAGTAGCAACAAAATAATTTTATGGTTGGGGGTCACCACAACATGAGGAACTGTATTAAAGGGTCGCGGCATTAGGAAGGTTGAAAACCACTGCCCTAGCCAGTTTGGCTCTGTGGATAGAGCATCAGCCTGCAGACCAAAGGGTCCCAGGCTCGATTCTAGTCAAGGGCACGTACCTTGGCTGCAGGCTCCTCCCTACCCGGGCCCTGGTAATGGTGCATGCAGTAGACAATCAATCAATGTGTTTCTCTCACATTGATATTTCTATCTGTCTTTCCCTCTCTCTTCCATTCTCTCTAAAAATCAATGGAAAAATATCCTCCGATGAGGATTTAAAAAAAACAAGACATTCATCCCTGCCCTCAAGGAAAGTAGTGGGGGCAACATAAAAGGACAATATAGAATAGACTATAGACTATAGACGGCCCATGAAGAAAAATAAAATGTTATAAGGAAAAAGGAAGCCAGGTGAGATGGGTGGAGGCTGGGACAGGGGTCCTATTTGAAATGGTGTCTGAGGAGGTGACATTGAGCGCAGTCTAGAAGGAGGTGAGCCACACAGACCGAGAGATGGGTCTTTCCAGACCAGGGAGCAGCAAGTGCAAAGGCCCTGGGGTAGATTTGAGTGTCTGAGGCCAGGGTGGCTGGAGCAGAGTGTGGGACGTGGAGAGTCAAAGATGTGGCTGAGGAAGTGAGGGACAGACGGTGGCATGCTAAGATGTAGTTGTTACTTTGGCTGTTACTCAGAATAGTGGTTGGGGGCAGTGGCATGATACCATCTGATTAGACGGAGCAGCATTGTTTTATAATAAACAAATAAAACCACTATGAAATGCCACCTCAGGCCCACCAGATTGGCCAAACCCAAGGAGTCTAGAAGACCAAGCATTGGCAGTAGCTCCCATCTGCACTCGTGGCAGCGTGAATAGGAAAATTGGTGCCGATTTGGAAAGCAGTTTGGCATTATCTTGTAAAATTACCACGTGCACAGCCTGCAAGCCAGCAGGGCACCTTTAGGCTCATACTCTGGGGACTCTCTTAGCTGCAGGAGATGGTTCTTAGCAGGCCAGCCAGCCACGGACACCAGCCCAACCTGCGGCAGCTCTGTGCTGCCTCCATCCACGGCGTCCAGGCAGCCGTGAAAACGACTAAGCTAGGTGCAGGGACGTCGATGGGGCTCCAAAAATATGTTGCAAAACAAAGCGAGTCACAGTAGACGACACAGCATGCTCTCAGGTACAAAGGGCTTAGCAACCGACTAAATTAGCCATAATTGTTTACGGAGGTGTCTAAAGGTGGTGAAACCTGGGGGGTGGAGGGCGATGCATGATTGACGTGGCATTCCCTCCCTCTGGAGAGGGAGGGAATGCGCCTGGGAGGGGCGCGGCGGGGCGGGATGAGGTTTGTCAGAGTTCCGGTCCGGAGCTGGGTGCTGGGTACACGAGTGTTTGTTCTGTTCTCCTTTAAATGATGCCTATAATTATATTCGCTCTTTTGTGTGTAATGACATATTTCATGGTAAGAACGGCTTTAAGAATAAATAAAAGCGATGAGTAGATTCTGAAGCAGAAAGCCTCCTTCCCAGAACTTTTCAGCTGCAACGAAGACATCAGGGAGCATTGGGAGGCCGCCTCCAGCTGCGCCCAGGCCCGCGCTGCTGGCTCCGGGGATCGGTGGGGGCAGTTGGATCAGCGCTGCAGGGCACGCAGGTGTATTAGCCGCGAGTGCAGGAGAGGAGGTGCAGCAGCCCCTGTGCCTACCTCAGTGCCAGGAGCTCTCCCAGGGGACCCGGGCCCGGCCCTGGGGCTGTGGCCCTCTCTCCTCTCCTTCCTCCTGCACGGCTGCCTGAGTGACCCCCTCCTGGCGGCCCTGCTGCTGCTGGTCAGTCCGTGCCTGGCTGTGCCCGGGCCCAAGCGCTGGGGCACCGGCTCCTGGCAGACCAGGAAGCCCAGCTGACAGAGTGAAGTGGGGAGGGTGGGAGGGTACGGGCCTGAGAGCCACGGGGAGGCAGGGGGATTGTGGGACGGAAAGGTGCAGGGCAGGGTCAACTGCAGAACTTGGACCTAGGCCAGCTGTGCCCTTCCTTCATCCATCCACCATACATCTATACATGCATACATACAAACATACATGCATGCACATGCATATACATACATCCTACCATACAAACTTACACATACATTCAGACGTACATACATGCAGACAATTTTCCATGCCTCCATCTCTCATTCCTCCTCCCTTCCATCCATCCACCCTTCCTCTATCCATCCATCCATCCATTCATCCATCCATCATTTATCCATCCACCGAACAGACCCATGCCCCAATTTCCTTCTCACTGGCCTTTCCTCTCACTGGCCCTTCTCTCCGACCTCCTAGCTTCACATCCTCCCTTCCCCCCGGACCATCAACAACTCTCACACACACACACACACACACACACACACACACACACACAGAGCTAACTCCTGCTCCTTATGCATGTCTCTCCGTGAAGGGAGCCTCTCCCACCTCCATCTACAGGAGGTTCCCTCTGCTGCCTCTCAGGCAAGGACCCTGTTTCTTCTTCCTCACAGCCGTCACCTATGTCCCTGAACGTTTGTCTGTGAGTTGGCTTGCTCATCCTGTCTCCCTGGCCAGACTCGAAGCTCCCAGAGGCCAGGGACAGGGTCCTTCGGTGCCACAGAGCCGGCCTGGCCCACGGACGGGCTCAGTAAGAGCCATGCCTGCTGGCACTGGGTGAGCTTAGAGAGAGCGCGGGGCCAGGTGTCTTGTAGGGGCTCGCTCATGCGTACCACGGAATATAACAGCCTCTTAAAGCTGACACTGTAGTAGGAAGAGATAAAGAATGTGCATGAAGAATGTTAATGCCGGGTGTGAGTCATGAGAGAGGCGGCGAGGGAGCGGGAAGGGGGGCCAGGTTGGAGCGCGGGCCCTGCCCAGCCTTCACCGCTTAGCACCGGATCAGCCACTCCATCTCCATGAGCTTTAATTTCCTCACTGACGAAATGGAGCTAATAAAACTGCAGAGAGGAAAAAGAAACACTATTACCATGAAATTGCTTCAAATTGTTCAAATATATCTTCAGAGTCCCGTGAAAAGTTTTTTAAATAGATAAAATTATGGTAAGAACTGGAATCAAGGTGATTTACTGACGCAATTCTTTATAGGCAGAGCCGAGTAATAGCAATTAATCAACAACTAAAAATGTTTGTTTATCAACGTTGAGCTTCTCGTGTTGTCATGACGATTCAGTGAGACAGTGCCGGCCACGCCCACCTGGAAGTGAACCTGGCGCTGGGTCCCTGTTCAACGCGTCCTTGTTCTTTGATTCTGGTTGGGTCGTGTGGGGTCATCTTTGTTGAAGAGGTTGATGCTGACACGAAACTTTGAAAAAATATCTAGGATTCTATTATTTTAACACGACAAATACAAGGTATCGTGTTTAGCACTTTAACGTACTCTTCTGGTTTCTATGGCTGCATGACCACGTAGGCCAAAGCATGATGGTGTAGTGTGGTCATTTCTTACGCTCAGAGGCTCTGGGAGCCTTGACTCTGCACAGAGCAGAGTAGGGGCAGCTTGTCTGTGCTCTGTGATGACTGAGGTTTCGAAGACCAGGGGCGGAGGTCATCTGAGGGCCCACACGCTCACTCACATGTTTGTGTTGACGCTGGCTGTCATCGGGGGCCCTCGGTTCCTTCCCACGTGAGCTGTTCCCGTGTCTGTGGGGGCTAGATTGAGCTTCCTTCCAACATGGCGACTGGACTTCAAGCAGGAGCATCTGGAGGGCAGGGCTGAAGGACAGCCTGGCCTGACTCCAGACTCTGAGGATCCAAGTTCAAATCCTGCCGCTGCCCCTCCCATGGCCACATGACCTGGCACAGAGTCAAACCCTGACTCTGCCCCTTCCGTGGCGTGCCCAGGCTCCCTGAGCCCCTGTGGGCAGTATTTCAGTTGCAAAGTGTGTGGAATAACGACCAGACTCTCATGACTGTGGGACCAGTCCATTGCTTCGTGGATACGTATGGGTAGAAATGGATGTCAACCCCAAAAGTCCAGGGCAGGGCACGTGATAGAAGGGGCGGTGAGGTCCTGAGGGTTGGTCTGAGCGTGGCGTCACCCTGCGCCCTGGTCATCCTGCCCGCATCTCCCCTCCACTGTCACCACTCCCTCCCCCGGAGTGGCCAGTCTCTGCCACCTCCCCGACCCCTGACCCCGCCTGTGCTCTTCCCTCCGCAGACATGGGGAGCTTTGAGGAGGGCGAGAAGCGCCAGAGCGTCTCCCACGGAGAAGCCGCCGTCATCCGCGCCCCCCGCATTGCCAGCTTCCCGCGGCCGCAGGTGACCTGGTTCCGGGACGGCCGCAAGATCCCGCCCAGCAGCCGCATGTGAGCACCCGGCTCGGGGAGCCACGGAAAAGGGGGTGTCTTGCCCTGGGAGGGAGGTTTGGGGGCGAAAATAAAACCCCAAACGCTGAGCGGGGCCCTTTCGCAGCGGCAGCTGCTCACAGCCCTCCTGGGACACAGCAGCTTGGGGACCTCCCACAGGACAGCCTGTGGCTTACGAGGGCCTTTCTGGGAATGTGCGTGCGAAGACGGGGAGCAGGGAGCAAGGTCGCCTTCCTGGGGAATCCCGGGCGGGCGCTGGCCCCCTTCTCAGCTGGAGCGTCATCCTGCCTCCCAGAGCGCTCACCAAGCCCAAACAGGCGGGGGCACAGGCAGAGGCGCCCTCGCCGCGGTCCAGGCCCAGGACTCCGGCCAGCGAGGCCCGGGGGCCGCGGGCTGGCATCGCCCCGACGGGCGCCGGCCCCTGGGTGTTTCCGGTGTGCGGGGTGCCTGGGGGTCCACGGCGTGCCCGGCTCTGTGTGTTTTGGCTGCTGCGAGGAGGTGAGGCCCAGGGGCCCGGCAGGGAGAGAACACACGGCTCTTTCAGCCCTAACAAAACCCCTCTGTGTGGCCCACGGCGTCGGTGGTGGCGGCCTGGCTTGTGGGCAGGAGCGAAGGAGCCAGCACCTCCACAGAGGGCCGAGGCAAGCATTTCCTCCTGGGACACGCCCGGCCCTCCCGACCCCCTGGGAGCCTGGAGCCAGCCAGGCTCTCCCTTCGGGGATCCCCCTCGCCCCTCTCCCAGGAAAGGAGACAGACACCTTGTCCCTGTCTCCTGGGGCAGGAGCAGTAGGTGGAGCCGGCCTGCCTCTGTAGGAAGCAGGAGCTGAGATGGACGGTTCTTGCCTTTGGGGACCAGGACGTGTAATGAGAGAAGCGTAAGGGTCATCATGTCATCACGGTGGCTGTCATTTAGGGGCGTCTGCTGTGTTCGCAGGCCTGGGTTAACCCTCTGTATGCCATGAGCGTCTAGAGACGCTTTAAAAAAAAAGTCACTTTTCGTGAGAATTTCCAACTGGAAAACATGCAAGAACGCCCAAATTGTGAGTAATATATTTATTTTTATAACATTCATCGCAAGTTTGTTGTTTAAATTAAATTCAAAATACCGTGGCGTGTGGGGATGGTCTCCGTTTTGGACGCGTGGCAATTGACTGGTTAAGCACACTCCATACCTCACCCTCCCCTCTGGGACAGGGGAGCACCTCCAAGGAAGACACCTCTCTCCCCTTCCCTTCTTACTCCCCAGAGGAGTGCACACTCCAGAAACATGTGTGGAATGAATGACCCTCAGGACCTCCCTAACCCCTTTCTGAGGTTATGTCACGTGTCCGAGGCGTATCCGGGGTGGCGTCCTGCAAGCCCATCACTTAGTCGTGGCTCCCTGGAATGCCCTGTGGAGAAGGATTCTGAGGCCTCGTTCAGACTCAGTGGGAAACCCAGGTCCCATGGGTGCCTGTCCAGACCATGAGAGATTGACAGCACGTGCCGTGGCTGCGGGAGGGGACACGTGGGCCCTTACCTACCACAGGTGCTGTGATAGGTGGAACCTGTCTGCATCCTCACTCCCAGCATCCCTTGCCCGGCACCTTCCCACCTCCTCTTCTCATTCCTGGCCTCTGTCCTCACCCGCCTTTCATCCCCAGCAGCCCGGGCACCAGGGCAGAAGGCCTTAGGGAGCACGCGCAGGCTCCCACCTTCTCCGCACGCCTTCCGAGCACGATAGCGCACTGGGGTGATGTTATCTCGGCAATTACAGCGGATTAATACTCATAACCGGGAGGAAAGGTTCCTGGTAGGAAATTCTCTGGTGTCTGTTTGCCAGCGATACCTATCTGATGAATGCCGCTGGCCGGAGGGGTGTGCAGGCCAGGCTGCTCTCTGCCCCGCACAGCCGGTGATCAGCAGCACCTCGCCCATCCCCCGGTGCTCCCAGACCAGGTTCCTAACAGCCAGTGCTGGGGGCTTTGGGCAGGTTCTGGGATGATTTATTTTATTCTTAATTAAATGATCCATTGGGCCCCCTGGAGCCGGGGAAATAAGCTGACTTAAGAGAAGTAGCAGATGCAGGGTGGGGTGGGGGGACCTGGCAAATTGAAAACCGGAGGAGGATGCCTAAAAATAGAACCCAGCCCCCCCCCCTACCCCCCGCCGGAGAGCTGAGCCTGCCGGCCAAGCCCCAGAAAACTCTGCCAGCTTCTTTCACCGTGGGTGCATGGGGGTGGGGGGTGGGGCGAGGGCCGAGGGCCAGAACAGCTTTGTGCACTTGGGAAGTGAGGTCCAGGGTGGTTCCAGAACCATCTGTGGAGGGGCCGGTCATGCCGAAGGGGGCTGTGAGCCCAGGGTCCCTTTTTTAACACCCCCCCCACACACCTACTGAGGGCAGAGGGAGGGCAGGGCAAAGGTCATTATCACTTCCCAGTCTCTGTGCCTCCTGTTCCACTCCACAGCCAGAACTCAAACCCAGGCCTGTGGGTGCTGGTCCAGGCACCGCTAGCTGCAGTAACAGACAGACCCCCGAACCATAGATGTTTACTTAGTAAAGGCCCACCACGGGCGAGGGGCGGGAGGGGTGCTCCTCTCCAGTCACTGGGGGACCCTGGTTGGTGGGAGCTATGTCGTCATCGACACTGGGCTTCCCAGTTGTTCTGCTCTGACGGGGGCAGCAAGAACATGGGGATCATGCAGGAGGTTCTGTGGTCCAAGCTGAGACACCCCACTAGCTCAGCCACATTGCCCCCTGCCCCCAGATTCCAGGGGGCGGGGGGTTGGGAAGGGCGGCCCCTGACTTCTCAGCGGCTACCCGACTCTGTGGAGGGGGCACCTGAAATTGAAGTGGGCAGTGACCGTATCTGCCACCTCGGGATGCCACCCCACCTAGGACAGGGCACCTCAGCCACGACACAATGGACATTTGGGGCTCAATAAATTCCCGCTGTGCGGTGCACCGCGGACTAGCAGCGCCCTGACCTCCGCCACAGGTGCTGGTCACAGCCCCACAGCTGTGGCAGCCAGATGTTGTTCCGATGCTGCCCGGGGTCGCCTGGAGGGCAGAGCCACTCCTGGTGGAGAACCACGGGCTTAGAAGGACGGGTCATGATATAGACAACGTGTAGCTAAAAGGAGAGAAGCGGGGGGGGGGGGAGGCTTCCTGGTCAAGGAGAATGAACTGGAGGCGGAACTTCCTTCCCTGGACGCCAACAGGGGGCTCCCGACAGGCAGGTGAACGGGACCGTGGGACCAGTGCCCGGTGCGCCCTCCCGCCCCAGGCTTCCTTCCACCCGCTCCCATGGCAGTGGGAGTGGCTGGGAGGCTGCAACCCATGTGGTCCAAGCGCATAGCTGCTCATTGGGTCAGTCCTGAGCCTGGACCGTGTGCCAGCTGAGGGCTGTGAGAGGGAGGGGGATGCCTCGGGCCAAATGGACACAGAGCAGAAGCAGGGACCAGAATCAGAACCCCCGCCCTCGGGGCTGGAAGGAACCCTCAGGAACACGTGCTGCCCCCCCTTGCTCAGATGGGGAGACTGAGGCCCAGCGAGGAGGGGGTTGCGTGCTCCTCAGGGGCTGGGCCAGAGCTCCGTTCCTGAGCTCACCCCTTGCCCCGGCCAGAGCCCAGCCTCCCTCCCCCAACCCTCGCCCACCCACAGGCTCCACTGAAGGGAGTCCCAGGTGGGGAAATGGTCGCCATCCCCGCCCGTTTTTGTTGCTTTTTAAGTATTTTAGCCTCACTCTGTCCCACCTCCATCACCTCATTAGCTGGAGGTTACAAGCGCTCGCAGAAAAACAGGGGCAGCATTAGGGCGCCCAAGAATTGGGGCAGGAGGGCATTGCCTTCCTACTTCCCAGCGCCCTGCTGAGAACTCCCCCAGACTGCACATGAACCCCCAAATACACGGGAGCGAGGGGGCCCCAGCCAGCCCGGCTAGGGGAGCGGCTGTAGAGGCATTCGTGGGGCTGTTTGTTTGAGAGCTTGTTTAAAACTCTGTAACATTCACCTAATGGGAAAATTTGAAAAGAATTCAACTGGATGTGTCCTTGTTAAACTAACATTAAGGATATTTAACAGCTGTCTCGGGCACATCGCATTAAAATCCGAGATCGACTTGACAAGCTAATGGCTCTGTCTGTCACGGGGAGAGCGGGTGAGCGGAGATGACAGTGGAGCGGCGTGGGCAGTGCCCCCGGCACGGCTTCCCCCACATCCAACGGGCTCCCCAGCTGCCCGCCCCGACAAGCCCCTGGTCCTGCCTGCAGACCCGGGTGCTGAGGGGCTGTGTGAGGGGGTCCCCGCAGAGGGAGCCGGACTGGGAGCCCACAGCCCACATCTGCACCCACTGCCCGGCCACCTCCTTTTTCCCTCTCCACCAGCCCAGCCCATCCACTCCTTTGACGAGCTTTGGGGAAGTGGACACTGGTCCCATGAGAGGGGGCTGGTGGGGGATGTGAACCCTAGAAGTCCATGCTCCTGGCGATCTGTGGCCTTTGGGTCAACCTAGACAAATTTAGGATGAGGATAAGGCACTGATTCTGGAATGGTCCTGTTCATTTCTAAATTTAACATTATTGCTCATCATTCATCCATTCATTGATTCATCATCCATTCATTCATCATTCATTCTTCATTCATCATTCATTCATTCATTCTAGGACACTTCTTCAGGTGTCTGGGTGCCCCTGGTGCATCCACAGCGCTAACCACCCACCCACATAGCCATCGGTGCTGTGACAGGAAAGGGCAGACGTCCCAGGGACCTTGTGGGCACAGCCCGCAGCCCGGGCTTGGGGTGGGGACGGGGAGCCTCCCGTGGACGGCGTTCTGGGACTCTGGACACGTGCTGTATTGGGGTCTGGTCCCCACCCCTGGCAGCATGTTCTCTACAAAGTGTGGGTGGATTGCAGGCGTACGTGGTTCGGGGAGGCGGGCTGGAGGAGGGGCCCTGGAACCACCAGCTCCTGCCCTCGCTCCATCCCCGGTGCCGAGAGCCCCTCGGGCCCCTGTCAGCCGAGTCCTGTTCCCTTCCCCAGAGCCATCACCCTGGAGAACACCCTGGTCATCCTGTCCACGGTGGCTCCGGACGCTGGCCGCTACTACGTGCAGGCTGTGAACGACAAGAACGGGGACAACAAGACCAGCCAGCCCATCACTCTGGCTGTGGAGAGTAAGTACACAGCGGGCCTGGGCGGGTGGCAGAGCTGACATTACGTCTTGGGAATGGCGCTCGGAGCGGGGAGGGGGGTCATGGGAAAGATGGAATGAATGGTGCTGGAGGGGGAGACTCAGCCGGGGGTGGAGTGTCAGAAGCAGGCAAGGAGGGGGCTGCGTTGGGGACCCCATTCCCATGACAAGTCTGAGACCCTGCCTCAGGAGAGGGGACGCCGGGCTTGGCGGTCAGCAGGGCCCTGGAGGCCGGGAGGCCGCGGGGTGGAGGGGAGGGTTACATTCGTGGACTGCGCCACCCTGGGCTCAGGTGCAGACAGGGAGAGTGGCCAGGAGGCGGGGAGCTCCTCTTTAAACAAATACACTAACCGCCTGTGCTCAGCGGGCACGTGCAGGTGCAGCTTATACCCGGAGCCAGGCCGTCCTCGCTGCGGGGACACAGCTGCCGGCCGCACTCCTGTCTGGAAGCACCTCGTCACCCGTCCCCAGAGTCCACCCGGTGCCCCGGAACAGAGAGGCTCAGCCCTCCCCGGGGCAGCAGAGGGTAGCAATTAAAAGGGTATCTCCTTGAGCTTCCTCTGGCAAAGAGGCGTGTACTCCGAGCCAGCGATCTCCGAGATGGAGATGCTGGGATGTGCTCCCAGCCCGGCCGGCCCCCTCCCTCCCGGCCCCATCCCTGGGATCGAGGAGGTGGGGGCCACCCTGCAGCCCCCCCGGGCCAGGAACCACAGCGTGTGCGGGATGAGGCCAGAGCTTCCCGCAGCAGCTGAGCAACCACGCAAGCTGGGGAGCCAGATGTTCCCGCCTCTGCACATCTGTCCCACCCCCGCTCCAAACCCACGTCTCATTTATCATCGCGGTGCCTCTGGGACGCACCCGCCAGCAGCAAGAAGAGGGTACGGGCGGCAGGGGCCTTCCCGTGTCCTTCCTCTGACCCCGGCCTCTGTCTGTCTGTTCCTGGGCCTTCTGAGCGCTCGCAACCCGCTCCCCCATTTCTGCAGTTCTCTCTCCTGCACCCCAGGTTCCAGTCTGCCTAGAGAGAGACCTGGATGCAGGGAGGGGGTTGCATTCTGGGGGCTGGCCTATCTGGGTCACGGTGTAACCTCTGACGTTGACCTGGGGCCAGGGTCACGGTCTAGCCCATGACCTGAGGCGGCTGTTCCTGTGGGGAAAGGAATTTAACCGCCAGAAGGAGATGTTTATCCCCATATGTTTTTCAGTGGTCAGGACACCTAGGGTCCAGGGGCATCCAGTGATGGGTAGGAAGCAAGGTTCATGGTCCAGGTCAAGGCCAGCCGTCGTCCCGGGTGACACACGCTCCCCTGAGACCAGAGGTCGGAGCCTCCTGTTCCATCCGTGTTCCTCCCCCTGCGCCCAATCTCCTGGCCGACTGCGGATTGTCCCCTCTTTGCTCCATGTTAACGCCCCACGGGAGGCAGGCGGGGCCACTCTGGACCCCGAGTCCACCGAGCCTCCCCAGCTGTCTGTCTCTCCCACCCCGGCGCCCCTCGCCTCCTGCTCTCATGCAGTGATTTGTGCCTGGTACCGGATGGGAGCGGAATCAGCTGGTTTTCAGTTAATTTCTCCTCCCACGAGCGACTGTGCCTCAAAACCCTGTGCCTGTCACTGACACACATCCCTGCGTGCCTGCTGTCAGCCAGTGTACTCTGAGCAAATGCCTCGTAGCCCGTCACCGCCGCCAGCTCCAGCTCCTCATGTTTATCCCCCCAGGGCCACCCCTCCCTCCGCTCCTCCCCCACCACCCTCTTCCCTCCTCTGCTCCGGCAGCTCAGCTCCTCAGCAGCCCTCCCAGGGATGCCCACGCTCTTCGGAAACGAAGGACAGCCAGGCCAGTGGCCCTGGGCGTTGTCCCTGCCCAGGTGTAACCCCGGTGACCTCACACAGCCTGTCACACTCCTGAAAACGTCCATCCCTGGGGGGTGGCCCCACCCCGAAGGATCAGCCCTGCACTGCCCAATAGAAATATAATGTGAGCTACATACGTTACTTAATATTTGACAGTAGCCGAACTTTTTAAAAAAGGGATGAGAAATAGGTGAGAAATTAATATTTTATTATATTTTACTTAACATATCTAAAATAGTACCATGGTAACGGACAATCAATACTGGAACATATCCATTCAATATTTTACATTGGTTGTTTTTTTTCATACGGTGTCTTCAAAATACGTGTGTTTTACCCTTGCCACGCATCTCAATCTGGACGCAAAATTTTCACCTGACAGATGCGGCCTGGGTTTAGATTTCAGAAAATTTACGGCTGGGGAGGCGGGGCCGTGTGCCAGCTTGCTCCAGGCTTACTTAAAGGGTTCTGGTCACTGATTCGGGGGCCTGTTTTTAATTAACTGCAAATTATTTTAAATTAAATCCCATTAAATCAAAGGGGCACCGGGCACACATTGCCAGAGCTCACAGCCACCTGCGGTCCGTGGCCCCGGGCTGGGTTGGGAGGTCAGGCGCCGGAGGGAAGCAGCTACCCACCCACCCACCACCCCTCAGGTGGCCTGTGGCCCAGGTGAGTCACGTGGTCCCTGGGCCTGTTTCCTCGGCTGTAATGGATGCCTGTGGCCCCGTGGAGTTGGGAGGATCAAATGAGGTGACTCCGGGAGACTGGATCTCAGGGGGTGCCCCTCATTGTGCCTGTGACCAGAATCGTCCTGGGGCGGCAGGATCCAGCTTGGCCGGAGTGGGGGGAGCCCCTCTGCTTCCTCCCACCCCGAGGCTGTCCACATCGGGAGCTCCCGTGAAAGACGCCCCTCCTTTACTCCGGTTCACCCCAGTGTCCCAGGCACATCCCCAGGAGGAAGGACTGTCTGTCGTTTATTGAGCACCTACTATGTGTCGATAGTCTGCACTCACCAGACCAGCTCAGCTCGGGAGCAGATAGGGGTGTTGAACCAGGTCTCCCTGAACCCCAGGCCCCCCTTCTCTGGTCTGGGGTCCCCGGCCACTGCCTGTCCCTCCCTTTGAGCCCTGTAGGCTGCCGCCTGGACCTGGGCATGAGCTTCAGGGTCCCTGGGGTGGGATGGAGGGTCAATATCTCTCCTCTCCTCTCCCAAAGCCACCAAGCCGGCCCGAGGCCCGGGGGCAGCCTTATATTTTTAAACTCCGAGGACTCTGCTCCCCCGGCTACACTGTGGGGCACCGCTCGGGCCCCGTCTGTCTCCTCCTCGGGCCCCATCAATCTGGGTACCTGCGCACCCAGATGTAATAAACACCTCAGAGTGCACTTTTATGGATTCAGCTATATCAGCAGCCTTCAATCGGATCGCATTTTATGGCCCCTACATAGGCTTTTATATTGTTGCAATTATTTTATTTTATACGCTTCTTTTCTTCCCCCCTTCATTTTACTTTATTTTTGACAATTTATTCCCATTCGACTTGGACCTTTCCCAGCCAGGCCTTGAGTGCAGGCGGGAAGACCTGCCCAGGGCTGACCGGGGTGGCCGGGATGGCGGTGGAGCCCCGCGAGCCCTCCCCATCAAGGATGACCGATCTATCGCTGTCGCCCGGGCTGCGTGTGTCATGGGGCCTGCCACCTCCCAGCCTCCTAGACGGGGGCCAGGGAGATGGGTCATTTTCTGTGGGAGGAAAGTCCTCGGTTGTATTTTCAGGAGCCTGAGCAGGTGTGCAGGGGATATTGGGGTTTCCGCCAATATCGGGGCTACCCTGCCCCACAAAGATTAAGACTCAACCACTTCTTAAAGGAAAGGGCACTGCCTCTCTGAGTTTGGTTTTGTTTGTTTTGTTTTAAATGTTTTTATTGATTTTAGAGAGGAAGGGAGAAGGATAGAAAGAGAGAGATAGAAACATTGATGAGAGAGGAACATCCACATCCATCAGCTGCCCCCTGCACACCCCACACTGGGGATCAAGCCTGCAACCCAGGCATGTGCCCTGGCCGGGAATCAAACCGGTGACCTCTTGGTGCATAGGTCGATGCTCAATCACTGAGCCACGCCGGCCGGGCTGTTTCGTTTTAATGAAGCCCACTCCTGCTCAGTTCTCACCATCAACCCTGGGTTAGTACATAGATAGTTCCATTCACTTGTTCACCTGACAAATGTATTTGAGCACCTACTGTGTGCTAGACAGCATTTCTTGTGCTGGAGATGTGGGAGGGGGTAGGAGTGCAAGACTGTCTGGGTCAGCCCAGGCTCCTGTAACAACCACCAACATGTATACCTCACCGTCTGGAAGGCCAAGATCAGGGCCCCAGCATAGTCAGTTCCCAGGCAGGGCTCTCTTCCTGGCTTGCAGACAGCCGCCTTCTCACTGTGTCCTCACATGGCAGAGACAGAGAGAGAGAGCAAGCGAGAAAGAGAGAGAGAGTCCCTTCCTAGTGACCTCATTGAACCCAGTTTTCTCCTAAGTAGTGCATCTCCAAATACAGTCTCCTGGGGGTTAGGGCTTCAACATGGGGATTTAAGGGGAGGCACAATTCAGCCGCAAGCGAAGATCCGTGAGGTTCCTGCCACAAGCAAGGTATGAGCTTCCTGGGGCTGCTATAACAAGGTGCCCCCGCCTGAGAGGCTGATCCCAGAATTTCATTCTCTCGCAATTCTGGAGGCCAGACGTCTGAAAGCAAGGGGTCTGCAGGCCCAGGAGCCTTCCGCGCCTCCCCTCCCTTCCGCTGGCCCCAGCAATCCTTCGTTTCCTTGGCTTATAGATGCATCACTCCCATCTCGGCCTCTGTCCGCACCTGCCCTCCCCCCCACCCCCCCGTGGCTGTGTCTGAATCACCCTCTTCTTATCGGGACGTGTCCTATTGGGCAGAGGGCCCAGCCCGATGCAGGAGGGCCCCGTCGAAGCCTGCTCACTTCTGCAAAGACCCCTTTTCCACGCGTAGCTGCTGTGGATGTGATTTTGGGGAAACACTGTTCAAACCACTACAGGGGGGTTGCGTTCTGGTGGGAGAGGCTGAACTAGAGGAAGGAAGCCGACGAGATAAACGCAGGTGGGGAAGGCCCTGGGGGCCTCCAGTGGGTCTCCGTGGAGACCCCTCAGCAGAGGAGGAGGAGCGGTGATGAGTCCCTGGGGTCAGTGTCTGGGGTTCAGCTTGGGCTTCGCGTGTGGCTGCCCTGTGGCCACCCGCCCACTGGAAAAGGATGGGTGTCTGCCTGGCGTCAGCCTCTAGCGGGCGCTGGGCAGAGATGGGATTTCTGGCTCTTCCCGGCTAACACCTGACCTCTCCCCAGATGTAGGGGGGCCTGCAGACCCCATCGCCCCAACCATCATCATTCCTCCCAAGAACACCAGCGTGGTGGCCGGGACCTCGGAGGTGACCATGGAGTGCGTGGCCAATGCCAGGTGGGCAGTGCCTCCCCCTCACTCCCCCTACTCCCCACCCAGGGGCTGCTCCAAGGAGGCCTGTCGGGATTCAGAAAGGCCCTGGGGTGTCATATGAGGACCCGTGAAAGGAGAAAGGGTATTTAGCCCGAAGGAAGGACAGAGGGTGGCCGTGCCAGCTGCTGCCGCAGGCTGTCGGATACAAGCAGGCCGGCTCGTTCTCTGCGGGCCGAGAGGAGAGGTCAGGTTCTGGTGGAAGCTAGAGGGCTGCCGGTCTCAGCCCAGGATACTGGGGACGGGGCGGTCCTCTCACGTCCAACCCTCAGAGCAGCCTAGAGACGGGCAGGGGCCTCTGCCCACGACGCCCTCCCTGCAGGCCGGCATGTGCCAGGAGACAGCTCACGTGATGGACTTTGTGGAGGGCAGACCTGCGCTCGGGGGCAGTCCAGGCCCCTTCCTAGGCGTGCACAACCCTCGCCATTTTTGTTGTTGTTAATCGTCACCCAAGGATACTTTCCCATTGATTTTTAGAGAGAGTGGAAGGGCAAGGGAGAGACAGAGAGAGAGAAACATCGATGTGAGAGAGACACATGGATTGGTTGCCTCCCGCACGTGCCCCAGCTGGGGCTTGGGATCAAGCCTGCAACCCAGGTATGTGCCCTTGACCGGAATCAGTCACTGAGCCAACCAGCTAGGGCCAGGACACAGGAAACACTTTCATCCTGTGTGTGGTGCCGTGTTTACTGTGTGTGGCGCCGTGTTGCCTGCGTGTGGTGCCGTGTTGACTGTGTGTGGTGACGTGTTGACTGTGTGTGGTGCCGTGTTGACTGCGTGTGGTGCCGTGTTGCCTGCGTGTGGTGCCGTGTTGACTGTGTGTGGCACCGTGTTGCCTGCCTTCCCACACAGCCTTTTTCTCCCCAACAACACTCCCCAGCAGAGATGGCACTACTCCGGGGCTCAGAGAGAGCAGGCCACCCGCCCGAGGTCACCCGCTGCCGAGAGCAGAATGCGCGAGAGAACAGGCCACCCTGAGACCATGCTCACGGCCGTGCTCTGGGCCTCGGCCTCCTGGGCTGTGACACGGGAAGGTCCGAGCACCTGCCTCGGTGGTCAGGCCTGGGGGCCGGGTGCTGGCCCAGCCTGTCCTGACTCCTGGTTCCTGCTCCCAAGGGACAAGGGACGTGATGGGTGGGGGGAGACCAGTGACCCTGAGGTCACCCCGGCGGATCCCCCGGAGAGCACGTCCCTGTACGTAGAGTGTTTCTGCGAGTCCGCCCTCGGGGCCCAGGTGTCTCACGGGTGTGGCAAGGCCACCAGGTGCAGCCGAGCGCCTGAAGGCTGTGGAGTAACAACGATGCAGGAGACCCACGGTGAGGAGCCTGCCTCACGGCACTCACGCCACTGATGCCCAAACCTACTTGGCCACGGAACCCCTCTCTCATGGACCCTCTGAACACCTTGTGGAACTAACACAGACACCCCCCTCCCCCAGCAGATTGGCCTTTGGGGATCCGCCAGGTGCCAAACAGGAGAGCCGGGCAAACCCAGTCTCAGGGAGCCTTGGGGGTGCCAGGGGGTGGGGGGTGAGGGGAAAGGGCTCGGCTCCCATCCTCACCCCATCGAAGTTGGGGGATGGGTACATCCATCCACCTGCCTTTGTCTCCCCATCTCCACACTTTGGGTGCCTCCCTCGTGTTCCTCCTCGTCACGTTCCCTCGCCTGTGGCCATTTCCTGTCCGTCCGCTGAGTCACATTCGGGGCCTGGCGCATGGGGAGGGCAGAGGAGAAGGGTTCCCCGTGAAGGAAGCTTCCAGCTCTCGGAGCCCCGGGCTCTCGGAGCCCCGGGCACTGAGTTGTTCCGAGGGCTGCCGCTGCGTTCATGCATCCACCTTCACCCCAGCCCCGCTGAGCACGGCTGCCCCATTCTACAGATGAGGAAACTGGGGCCCAGAGCACTGAAGGAACTTGCCTAAGGGCTTAGAAAATGCCGGGAGGCTGGGCAAACCCAGGCGGCCTGGCCCCGGGCCTCGCTCCTCGCCCCTGCCTGCCCTCCGGCCTCCGGAAGTCCCTGTGGCTGAGTGCCTGCTCCCTCCCCCGCTCCAGGCCCCTGATCAAGCTGCACATCCTTTGGAAGAAGGATGGGGTGCTGCTGTCAGGCGGTATCAGCGACTACAACCGCCGGCTCACCATCCCCAACCCCACGGGCAGCGACGCCGGCTTCTACGAGTGCGAGGCCGTGCTGCGCAGCAGCAGCGTCCCCTCCGTCGTCCGTGGAGCCTACCTGTCTGTGCTGGGTGAGATGGGGCGGGGCTGCTGGGGGGTCCCAAAAGGGTAGGGGCAGCATGGTTATATCATAAGGAGCATGGCTCTGATCCCCTCCCCTGTCTTTCTTCCTGCAGAACCACCTCAGTTTGTCAAGGAGCCCGAGAGACACATCACAGCAGAGATGGAGAAAGTGGTGGACATTCCCTGTCGAGCCAAAGGTAACTCGGCGGGCGGCGGGGATGAAGGGGGACAAGGACCCCCGAACCTTCAGCCCCTCCTGTCTCTGGCACGGACTTTTCTCAGCTCCACCTCCTTCTCCAGGCACCATCATTGAGCAGAGAGTCAGTCTGGCTGTGCGCAGACACCCCGGGGAAACAAACAGGCCAAATTACCGTCATCTCGGGCCTGGGAATCAACCTAGGTTATCATAACTTGAGGGTTATAAACGAACCCAAATTACTGTGATTTCAGAATAGGTGACAGGCCCAAATTGCCCATAATTGGAGAGTTGTCGACACTGCCCAGTTCCCGGCATGTCAGAACTAGGAGAACGTGGGTGCATCTCGCCCTACATGTGCCTCGGAAGGTCCGCCTGGTTTCTGGGTTATGTTGTTCCCTCTTCCGCCCCCCCCCATTTCTACTTGACCCCCCTGTCAGAGCTCCCGGGGAATTTCTGCTTTTCCCATCCCCACCCTCCCTCCTTCTGGGGCAGCTGAGCCAAAACACAGCCCGAAACCAGGATGAACTCAGGGGCGGGCGGTGGGATGTGACCTCATAATGAGCAGAGAGACAGAATGTAGCTCAGGCAGGCAGAGAGTGACGGGGAGGGGAGACCCACCTGGGGGAGGCGAGATTCATGCGTTCAATCAACAACCATTTTTTCCGACGGCTCGCCCTGTGCTGAACGCTGTTCCCGGGGCTGGAGAAGATACAGGAGGAACCGAACAGCCAGGGCCCTGCTGTAGGAAACTGACGTTCCTGTGAGGCGGGCAGACAATCCAATAAACAAATAAAGATGCCTCGTTTCCTTTCATCCAAAATGCCAGGGGTCGTAAGACGCCCCATTATTTTATGTACCACGAAGAAAGGAAAAAGACCGCCAATTAAATTATGACGTGCTGTCGACGGGGAGGCGGCCTGCTCTCGCAGACGTAACAATGTGAAGGAACGTGCATCGTTGAGTGGATGCAATACGGGGCCATGGAATGTCGGGGTGCAAAGCGCTAGCGAGGAAACGCAGGCGGGCTTTGGGGGCACGGAGCCAGGGTGCACTTTTGAACAGATGTGGGGAGCTCTCTAGGGAAGTTACATTTGAGCAGAGAGGCCCGGAGGGAGAGTAGGGGGGGTTGGGGTACCTGTGAGAAGGCTGAGAGACAAGAGGAGCCCCCCCTTTACTCCGCTGTGTAGACCATGTACAGGGGCTTCTGGGGATCCCTGAGGAGTCCTGGTCCCCTCCGCGTGCTCCTTGCCATGGCCTCTGTGGTCGCGTGGGGTTGGGGGACCCACTCCCACCGGGAGGTTCCCCGAACGCACAAGAATCTCTGCTAAATGTTGCAGGAAAAAATGTCTCGTTTGGCCAATCCAGCATCCCCAAGCTAAACGAATCCGGGACATTTAAAATTGTCTTGGAGCACCTGTTCTCTAAGAATTTGAGAACATCCTCCCCCTCTCCCAGG